GGGAGGAGCCGGTACACCTGTGCAAGACTGAAAGGGAGGAGCTGGTACGCCTCTGCAAGACTGAAGGGGAGGAGCCAGTACACCTGTGTAAGACTGGTGGGGAGGAGCTGGTACACCTGTGCAAGACTGAAGGGGAGGAGCCTGTACACCTGTGCAAGACTGGAGGGGAGGAGATAGTACACCTGTGCAAGACTGGAGGGGAGGAGCTAGTACACCTGCGCAAGACTGAAGGGGAGGAGCCGGTACACCTGTGCAAGACTGGTGAGGAGCTGGTACACCTGTGCAAGACTGGAGGGGAGGAGCCAGTACAACCTGTGCAAGACTGAAGGGGAGGAGCCGGTACAACCTGTGCAAGACTGAAGGGGAGGAGCCAGTACACCTGTGTAAGACTGGTGGGGAGGAGCCGGGGGACTTGTGCAAGACTGAAGGGGAGGAGCTGGTACACCTGTGCAAGACTGAAGAGGAGGAGCCAGTACACCTGTGTAATACAGAAGAGGAGGAGCCAGTACACCTGTGTAAGTCTGAAGGGGAGGAGCCAGTACACCTGTGCAAGACTGAAGGGGAGGAGCCGGTACACCTGTGTAATACAGAAGAGGAGGAGCCATTACATCTGTGAAAGTCTGAAGGGGAGGAGCCAGTACACCTGTGAAAGTCTGAAGGGGAGGGGCCAGTACACCTGTGCAAGACTGAAGGGGAGGAGCCGGTACACCTGTGTAATACAGAAGAGGAGGAGCCAGTACATCTGTGAAAGTCTGAAGGGGAGGAGCCGGTACACCTGTGTAAGACTGAAGGGGGGGGGGGGCAGAGGGAGGATTTCATGGACAGACTGAATCCTTTATGACGTTTGATTCTTCCCGGAGTTTCCCTTTCAGTCACATGATCCAATAGGGCGCAGTGCCAGGGGGACCGTGTCCCATTATTGGGAGCACAGTTGTGGGGTTTGCTGTCATTAGAGACTGCAGTGAGGTGGGAGGAGCCCCCACCGTCGGAGTTGTATGTTAGGATGTGATTGGGTGGCTGCGGTAATAATGAGTTTCTTGGTTGTAGGCGGATGTTCCCGTCTGTCCGGGTGAAGGTGAAGGGACTGGACCCGGCCCAGCAGTACTACATCGCCATGGACATCATCCCCGTGGACTCCAAGAGATACAGGTCTGACCCCACCTTCCCCCGCCTCCTGTGCCCTCATTGGATGATAGATCAGCAGGCTGGGTCCAATGATCCAGCAGGGTCACAGGATGCTGCAGAGCTGCGAGCTCAGAGCAGTGGTGTCACCCCCCATGGCCGTGTGTGTGAGTCACGGGACCGGCTTAGCAGAATGAGAAATCATTCGGCAGGTATAGCGGCTCCTATCACCCCCCAATGGGCAGGCTGAGCCCCTATCACCCCCCAATGGGCAGGCTGAGCCCCTATCACCCCCCAATGGGCAGGCTGAGCCCCTATCACCCCCCAATGGGCAGGCTGAGCCCCTATCACCCCCCAATGGGCAGGCTGAGCCCCTATCACCCCACTATACAGGCAGGCTGAGCCCCTATCACCCCCCAATGGGCAGGCTGAGCCCCTATCACCCCACTATATAGGCAGGCTGAGCCCCCTATCACCCCACTATATAGGCAGACTGAGCCCCTATCACCCCACTATATAGGCAGGCGGAGCCCCTATCACCCACTATATAGACTGGCTGAGCCCCCTACCCCACTATATAGGCAGACTGAGCCCCTATCACCCCCTAATGGGCATGCTGAGCCCCTATCACCCCACTATATAGCCAGGCTGAGCCCCTATCACCCCACTATATAGGCAGACTGAGCCCCTATCACCCCACTATATAGGCAGACTGAGCCCCTATCACCCCACTATATAGACAGGCTGAGCCCCTATCACCCCACTATATAGGCAGACTGAGCCCCTATCACCCCACTATATAGGCAGGCTGAGCCCCTATCACCCCACTATATAGGCAGACTGAGCTACTATCACCCCACTATATATAGGGAGGCTGAGCCCCTATCACCCCACTATATAGCCAGGCTGAACTACTATCACCCCACTATATTGGCAGGCTGAGCCCCTATCACCCCACTATATAGACAGGCTGAGCCCCTATCACCCCACTATATAGTCAGGCTGAGCCCCTATCACCCCACTATAAAGGCAGGCTGAGGTCCTATCACCCCACTATATAGGCAGGCTGAGGGCCCTATCACCCCACTATATAGACAGGCTGAGGTCCTATCACCCCACTATATAGGGAGGCTGAGCCCCTATCACCCCACTATATAGTCAGGCTGAGCCCCTATCACCCCACTATAAAGGCAGGCTGAGGTCCTATCACCCCACTTGATAGGCAGGCTGAGCCCCTATCACCCCACTATATAGGCAGGCTGAGGTCCTATCACCCCACTATATAGGCAGGCTGAGCCCCTATCACCCCACTATATAGACAGGCTGAGCCCCTATCACCCCATAATGGGCATGCTGAGCCCCTATCACCCCACTATATAGGCAGGCTGAGAGGTCCTATCACCCCACTATATAGGCAGGCTGAGCCCCTATCACCCCACTATATAGACAGGCTGAGCCCCTATCACCCCACTATACAGGTAGCTTAATCCCTCTGTAGCTCCACCCATAGGCACTCCATCCTGAACCCCTGTCACCCCCCCCCCACCCCCCATACAGGCAGGACGAGTCCCTGTAACCCCCATGTAGGCAGCTGTACCCCTCTCACCCTTCCCCCATACAGGCAGTCCCTGTAGCCACCCTCCTGCATGTAGGTAGGATGAGAACCTGTCACCCCCATATAGGAAGGATGAGACCCTGTCACCCCATATAGGAAGGATGAGACCTGTCACCTGTCACCCCATATAGGAAGGATGAGACCCTGTCACCCCATATAGGAAGGATGAGACCTGTCACCCCATATAGGAAGGATGAGACCCTGTCACCCCATATAGGAAGGATGAGACCCTGTCACCCCCATATAGGAAGGATGAGAACCTGTCACCCCATATAGGAAGGATGAGACCCTGTCACCCCATATAGGAAGGATGAGACCTGTCACCCCATATAGGAAGGATGAGACCCTGTCACCCCCATATAGGAAGGATGAGACCTGTCACCTCACACCCATATAGGAAGGATGAGACCCTGTCACCCCATATAGGAAGGATGAGAGACTTGTCACCCCCTATAGGAAGGATGAGACCCTGTCACCCCCATATAGGAAGGATGAGACCCTGTCACCCCATATAGGAAGGATGAGACCTGTCACCCCATATAGGAAGGATGAGACCCTGTCACCCCCATATAGGAAGGATGAGACCCTGTCACCCCATATAGGAAGGATGAGACCTGTCACCCCCATATAGGAAGGATGAGACCTGTCACCCCCCCATATAGGAAGGATGAGACCTGTCATCCCCCATATAGGAAGGATGAGACCTGTCACCCCATATAGGAAGGATGAGACCTGTCACCCCCATATAGGAAGGATGAGACCTGTCACCCCCATATAGGAAGGATGAGACCCTGTCACCCCCTATAGGAAGGATGCGATCATGTGACCCCATATAGGTAGGGTAGCCCTTGTAGCCCCCTGTATAGACAGGCTGTACCCCTCTCACCCTTCCCTCACATAGACAGACTGAGCCCCTGTATCTCCCTCCCCCCTGTAGGCAGGCTGTGCCCCCCCCCCATGGGGTATTAAATGTGAGTATTCCCCTGATCTCGGCAGGTACGTCTATCACAGCTCGCAGTGGATGGTTGCCGGGAACACTGACCACTCCCTGCATCACCCCCCGACTCTACATACACCCCCGACTCGCCCTGCTCCGGGGAGACCTGGATGAGGCAAATCATCAGCTTCGACCGTGTCAAGCTGACCAACAACGAGATGGACGACAAAGGACATGTAGGTGTGCGCCATTCCGTCTTCTCATCCCAGTAAGAGGGCCCCCCCAGGGTCACCCCCCTTAGGGTCATTGCCACCACCCCCCAGGGTCACCCCCCCCAGGGTCATCGCCACCCCCCCCTAGGGTCACCCCCCGAGGGTCACTCCCCCCCCAGGGTCACCCCCCCCAGGGTCATTGCTACCCCCCCGGGTCACTCCCGAGGGTCACTCCCCCCCCAGGGTCATCGCCACACCCCCCCCAGGTCACCCCCCTTAGGGTCATTGCCACCCCCCCCAGGGTCACACCCCCCCCAGGGTCATCGCCACCCCCCCTAGGGTCACCCCCCGAGGGTCACTCCCCCCCAGGGTCACCCCCCCCAGGGTCATTGCTACCCCCCCGGGTCACTCCCCGAGGGTCACTCCCCCCCCAAGGTCATCGCCACACCACCCCCGATGTCACCCCCCCCAGGGTCATCGCCACCCCCCAGGGTCACCCCCCCAGGGTCATCACCACCCCCCCCAGGGTCACCCCCCCAGGGTCATTGCCACCCCCAGGGTCATTGCCACCCCCCCTAGGGTCACCCCCCCCCCAGGGTCACCCCCCGAGGGCCACACCCCTCAGGGTAACCCCCCCCCCCAGCGTCACCCCCCTCCCCCATTATATCCCAGAAATATCCTCCTCTCCATCCTTGGAGTTCCATATCCCTCTCCCCGAGAAATGTTCCTTTGAAATATCGAATTGATCCAAATTGTGCAGAATTGCTGGTTCTGCTATTCAAAATCTTGCTGTTATATTTTTTTTCTATTCTATTTCTGTTCCTTTCTCTCCTCTCCTCTCTTCTTCTCCCTTATCCTCTGCTCTACTCTTCTCTCCTCTCTCCTCTTCGCCTCTCTTCTCTCCTCTCTCCTTCTCCTCTTTTCTTTCTTTTCTCTCCTCTCATCTCCTTGCCTCTCCTCTTCTCTTCTCTTCTCTCCTCTCCTCTCTTCTCTCCTCTTCTCTCTTCTCTCCTCTTCTCTCCTCTCATCTCTCTTCTCTATCCTCTCTTCTCTCCTCTTCTCTCTTCTCTCCTCTTCTCTCCTCTCATCTCTCTTCTCTATCCTCTCTTCTCTCCTCCTTTCTTCTCTTCTCTTCTCCTCTCCACTTCTCTTCTCTTTTTTTCCTCTTCTCTCCTCTCCTCTCTTTCTCTCCTCTTCTCTCTTCTTTCTCCTCTCTTCTCTCCTCTTCGCTTCTCTCCTCTCTTCTCTGTCCTCTCTTCTTTCTTCTCTCTCCTCTCTTCTCTCTCCTCTTTTCTCTCTCTCATCTCCTCTCCTCTTCTCTTTTTCTTTCTCTCCCTCTCCGTTTCTCTTCTCTTTTATCTTTCTCTCTCCTCTCTTCTTCTCTCTTTTCCTCTTCTTTCATCTCTCCTCTCCACCTCTCTTCTCCTCTTCTCTTCTCTCTCCTCTCTTTTCTCTTCTTCTCTCCTATTCTCTCTCCTCTCATCTCTCTTCTCTCTCCTCTCTTCTTCTCTCTCCTCTCTTCTCTTCTCTTTTCTTCTCTTCTCCTCTCCTCTCTTCTCTCTCCCCCTCCTCTTCTCTCATCTCTCTTCTCTCTCCTCTCTTCTCTCTCCTCTCTCCTCTTTTCTTCTCTTCTCTTCTCCTCTCCTCTTCTCTTTTCTTCTCTCTTCTTTTTCTCCCCTCCTCTCTTCTCTCCTCTCTCCTGTCTTCTCTATTCTCTCTTCTTCCCTTCTCTCCTCTCTCCTCTCCGCCTCTCTTCTCTCCTCTCTCCTCTCTCCGCCTCTCTTCTCTCCTTCTCCTCTCCTCTTCTCTCCTCTCATCTCCTCACCTCTCCTCTTCTCTCTTCTCCTCTTTTCTCCTCTTCTCTCCTCTCTTCTCTCTTCTTTCTCCTCTCTTCTCTCCTCTTCGCTTCTCTCCTCTTTCCTCTGTTCTCTCTTCTTTCTTCTCTCTCATCTCCTCTCCTCTTCTCTTTTCTTCTCTCCTCTCCGTTTCTCTTCTCTTTTATCTTCTCTCTTTTCCTCTCCCTTCTCTCTCCTCTCTTCTCTCTCCTCTTTTCTTTTCTTCTCTACTCTCCTTTCCTCTCCTATTCTCTCTCCTCTTTTCTTCTCTTCTCCTCTCCTTTTGTTACATTCAATGAAATGGTGAAGCCCGGGTTCACGCTGATGTGGTGCTGGAAATGCTGCAAATCCCGTGTATTTCCCGCACTGCATTTAAATCTCATCGCATTCATGCGACCAGGTGAAGGTGTCAATGATAAATGAACGACGCCCCAAAACATCGCAAAACGCAATGCGGTCGGCCAGATATCCCATCACACCCATGCGATGCGCTTCAGGTGTGGATTTAATAAAGTTTCCTGCGCCTTGGTGCGGATGTGATGCGATTTTAGTGTATGTCTCATAGTCTCATGTCGCACCGCACAGACATTTGCCTGTAATGCGCACTGGGGGGGGGAAAGCGGTGCGATTCTTGTGCGCATTACGTGCGGAGTCCCGCGCTGCATAGTGTGAACCCGGGGTCAATGTGTGGCTACGTTCACGCTGATCTGCCGCAAAAACACAACAAAATGCAAAGGCATATGTGTTTTTTACAGCGCTTTTTTTTTGCTGCGCTTTCTGAGTACGTGACTTAAAAACTGCACCAAAAATGCTTCTCAGAGGTGTTTCTGGGGCGTTTTCCCACTGATTTCATTAGGAAGAGGAGTTTTGGGGGCTTTTTTTCAGACGAATTTTTTTCCACTGATTTCAATAGGAAGAGGCAGTTTTGGGGGCTTTTTCAGACGTTTTCCCACCCCCCCACTGATTTCACTGATTTCAATAGGCAATTTTGGGGAAGAGGAGTATTTTAGGAAGAGGGGGGCTTTTTTCAGACGTTTTCCACTGATTTCAAATAGGAAGAGGCATTTTTGGGGCTTTTTCAGACGTTTTTTTCAGACGTTTTCTTCAGACCACTTTTACCACTGATTTCAATAGGAAGAGCAGTTTTGGGGGCTTTTTCAGACGTTTTTTTTTCTCAGACGATTTCCCACTGATTTCAATAGGAAGGAGGCACTGATTTTTAGGGGGCTTTTTCAGACGTTTTCCACTGATTTCAATTAGGAAGAGGAGTTTTGGGGGCTTTTTTCAGACGTTTTCCACTGATATTTCAATAGGAAGAGGCATTTTTGGGACGTTTATCTCCCTCTTCCCCACTGATTTCAATATAGGAAGAGGCTTTTTCAGACGTTTCCCCCCACTGATTTCAATAGGAAGAGGCAGTTTTTTGGGTTGGGGGCTTTTTTCAGACGTTTTCCACTGATTTCATCTCTTAGGAAGAGGCATTTTGGGGGCTCTTTTTTTCAGACGTTTTCCACTGATTTCAATAGGAGAGGCAGTTTTTGGGGGCGTTTTCCACCCACTGATTTCAGAGGCGTTTATCAACGTTTCATTTCACTGATTTCAATAGGAAGGCGTTTTGGGGGCTTTTTATTTTTTCAGACGTTTTTCCACTGATTTCATTTCAATAGGAAGAGGAGTTTTTGGGGGCTTTTTTCGTTTTCAGACGTTATTCCACTGATTTCATTAGGAAGAGGCGTTTTTGGGGGCTTTTTTCGATCAGACGTTTTCCACTGATTTCAATAGGAAGAGGAGTTTTGGGGCTTTTTTTTCAGACGTTTTTCCGACTGATTTCAATAGGAAGAGAGGCAAATAGGAAGAGGCGTTTTGGGGGCCAATTTTTCAGATTGTCAATATGAAGATGCGTTTTTCCACTTATTGATTTTCATAGGAAGAGGAGTTTTTTGGGGCTTTTTTCAGACGTTTTCCACTGATTTCATTAGGAAAGAGGCGTTTTGGGCTTTTTTTCAGACGTTTTCTTCCACTGATTTCAATAGGAAGAGGCGTTTTGGGGGCTTTTTCAGACGATTTTTCCACTGATTTCAATAGGAAGATGGCGGGTATTTTGGGGGCTTTTTTTCAGAACTTTTCCACTGATGATTTCAATAGGAAGAGGAGTTTTGGGGCTTTTTTTTTTTCAGACGTTTTCCGACTGATTTCAATAGGAAGAGGCTTTTTTTGGGGGCTTTTTCAGACGTTTTCCACGACTGATTTCAATAGGAAGAGGGTTTTGGGGCTTTTTCAGACTTTTTCGACTCTGATTTCAATAGGAAGAGAGCATTTGGGGGCTTTTTCAGACGTTTTCCCACTGATTTCAATAGGAAGAGGAGTTTTGGGGGCTTTTTCAGACGTTTTCGAAACTGTTTCAATAGGAAGAGGCGTTTTTGGGGGCTTATTTTCAGACGTTTTCGACTGATTTCAATAGGAAGAGGCATTTTGGGGCTTTTTCAGAAGATTTTTTCCACTGATTTCAATAGGAAGAGGAGTTTTGGGGGCTTTTTTCAGACGTTTTCGACTGATTTCACTGCTTTTTTTTTCAGATTTCAAACTGATATCAATAGGAAGAGGCATTTTTGGGGGCTTTTTTCAGACGTTTTCACTGATTTCCAATAGAAGAGGCATTTTGGGGGCTGCTTTTTTCAGACGTTTTCCACTGATTTCATTAGGAAGAGGCGTTTTGGGGCTTTTATCAGACGACGTATTTTCCCCCCCCCCACTGATTATCATTTTTTAGGAAAGAGGAGGCATTGGGGGCTTTTTTTCAGACGTTTTTCCCTGATTTCATTAGGAAGAGGAGTTTTGGGGGGCTTTTTTCAGACGTTTTTCCCACTGATTTCATTAGGAAAGAGGCATTTTGGGGCATTTTTTCAGACGTTTTCCACTGATTTCAATAGGAAGAGGCATTTTGGGGGCTTTTTCAGACGTTTTCCCCCTGATTTCAATTAGGAAGAGGCATTTTGGGGGCTTATTTTTTCAGACGTTTTCCCACTGATTTCAATAGGAAGAGGCATTTTGGGGGCTTTTTCAGACGTTTTCCACTGATTTCATTAGGAAGATGAGTTTTTTGTGGGGGGCTTTTTCCAGACGTTTTCCCCCCCCACTGATTTCATTAGGAAGAGGAGTTTTGGGGGCTTTTTTTTCAAACGTTTTCGACTGAATTCAATAGGAATGGAAGAGGCATTTTGGGGCATTTATTATTTTTCAGACGTTTTCCACTGATTTCAATAGGAATAGGCATTTTGGGGGCTTTTTCATCAGACGTTTTCCCACTGATTTTCAATAGGAAGAGGCATTTTGGGGGCTTTTTCAGACGTTTTTTCCCCCACTGATTTCATTAGGAAGAGGAGTTTTGGGGGGCTTTTTTTCAGACGTTTTCCCACTGATTTCAATAGGAAGAGGAGGCATTTTGGGGGCTTTTTCAAGACGTTAGTTCCACCCACTGATTTCAATAGGAAGAGGCTCATTTTGGGGGCTTTTTCAGACGTTTTTTTCCACTGATTTCATTAGGAAGAGGCATTTTGGGGGCTTTTTTTTCAGACGTTTTTCCACTGATTTCAATAGGAAGAAGAGGAGTTTTTGGGGGCTTTTTTCAGACGTTTTCCGACTGATTTCAATAGGAAGAGGCATTTTGGGGGCTTTTTTTCAGACGTTTCAAATCACAACACGACTGATTTCAAATAGGAAGAGGCATTTTGGGGGCTTTTTTTTTTTCAGACTGATTTTTCGACTGATTTCAATAGGAAGAGGCGTTTTGTGGGCTTTTTTCAGACGTTTTCCACTGATTTCATTAGGAAGAGGAGTTTTTGGGGCTTTTTTTTTTCAGACGTTTTCCACTGATTTCATTAGGAAGAGGCATTTTGGGGGCTTTTTCAGACGTTTTCCCCACTGATTTCATTAGGAAGAGGAGTTTTGGGGGCTTTATAATTTTTGTTTCAGACGTTTTCCCACTGATTTCATTAGGAAAGGATGAGGAGTTTTTGGGGGGGCTTTTTTTTTCAGACGTATTCGACGATTTTCAATAGGAAGAGGCATTTTGGGGGCTTTTTTTTTTTCAGACGTTTTTCCCCACTGATTTGATTTCAATAGGAAGAGGCATTTTTGGGGGCTTTTTCAGACGTTTTCCACTGATTTCATTAGGGAAAGAGGAGTTTTGGGGCTATTTTTTCCAGACGTTTTTTCCACTGATTTCAATAGGAATTAGGCATGTTTGGGGCTTTTTCAGACGTTTTTCGACTGATTTCAATAGGAAGAGGCCCCCACCAAAAAAAGGCCATTTTGGGGGCTTTTTTCAGACGTTTTTCCCCCCACTGATTTCAATAGGAAGAATGCATTTTGGGGGCTTTTTCAGACGTTTTCCCCCACTGATTACGCATTAGGAAGAGGAGTGATTTGGGGGCTTTTTTCAGACGTTTTTCCCCAACTGACATTCAATAGGAAGAGGCATTTTGGGGGGCTTTTTTTCAGACGCACTTTCCACTGAATTTCAATAAGGAAGAGGCATCTCTTTTTGGGGGTGTTTTCAGGCGTTTTCAATATCAATCCATTGATCCAAATCTCCAAAAATAGGAAGAGGCGTTTTTGGTTCAATTTTCCCTTTTTTGAAACTGTAATAAAAAATGCTTCCAAAGAAGCTGCAAGCGGGAGTTTTTAAACACAAAACCACAATGGAAGCGCAGCACAACCGCAGTGTGAAAACATACATAGACACAACTACCGGGAAGCATTTTTCTTGAGCGTTTTTCAGATGCTTTTTTGTAACTATTAAAAACGCTTCACAAAAACTCCTCAGTTAATGTGAAATTTCAGGAGCAATTTTTGGAATTGAAATCGCATCTGAAATTGCATCCAATGAAAGTGAAGGGTCGGCGCGTCCTAACACGTGATTGCGATTTGCTGCGGCGCAATTTTTAAAGTAGTTCTTGCGTGACTTTTTCTGCAGTTTTGTTTGCGATTTCACAAACATAGATAGATAATGGAAATCGCAAACCGCAAGCAAATTGCGAGACATTGTTGAAAAAAACCTTCACAAGTACGCAATAAAGTCATAAATTGCCCCTGAAATCGCAGACGGAGTGACCGGGTGACTAAGGCTCGGGTCACACTGGATGCGATTTAAAAAATCACACGTTTTTGTTTGTGATTTGAAGATTTCCCAACAATTTGTTTGCGTTTTTCTATTGAATTGTATGATTTCTACTGTAGTCTATGTCTGTGAAATCGCAGCGAACTGCAGAAAAGGTCACGCAAGAACTACTTTAGAAATTGCGCCGCTGCAAATGATAAATCGCATGAAGTTAAGACGCCGACATTCACACATTCATTAGATGCGAATTTCAATTCCCAAATCGCACCTGAAATCGCAGCGGAGTGACCGTTGGCTAAAGTGTCAGGGGACTGGATGGCAAGTAAGGAGGTGCTGTGTTTACCCAATCGTGGGGAGGAAAAACAGGATCTTCCCGGCACACGATTGGTTGGTCGCCCTCCTGCCCCGCCATGTAGTCGCGCCGAGTTTTCCCCCCCGCCATCCGCACAATGCCCCAATAAATCGCATACATTTCTGCATTGTAAACAGAAGCCGGGCCGGCAAACCGGAAACTCCGCCGTCTAACTCAATTACACCTTCTGAGGCGGCGCAGCAGCCAATGCGGCCGTTGTGTTGATTTTAGGACGTGCTCGAATAAAACAAACGCGGAATTGTCGGCGGAATGAAGGGTAGGCTCAGTGCGCAGAAACGTCCCATTCAGAGTCGCAGATCCGTAACTCAGGGAAAACTTAAATGTGCAGTCTTCTCCAACAACGGATATTTCACCAGATTTCTTTTTTCTTCTCCTCTCTCTCCTCTCTCTTCTCTCTCTCCTCTCTTTTCTATCCTCTCCTCCTCTTCTCTATCCTCCCTCTTCTCCTCCTCTTCTCTATCCTCTTTTTTCTATCCTCTCTCCTCTTCTACTCCTTTCTCTCTTCTCCTCTTCCTCCAATCTTCTCTCTTTTCTATCCTCTCTTCTCTCTCTCCTCTTTCCTCTCTCTCCTCTCTCCTCCTCTCTCTCTAATTCCTTCTATCCTCTAGCTCCTCTCATCTCTCTCCTCTGCTCTCTCTCTCCTCTCTTCTCACCGTCCTCCTCTTCTCTCTTTTCTATCCTCTCTTTTCTCTTCTCTTTCCACTCCCCTCCTCTCTTCTCTCTCCTCTCCACTCTCCCCTCCTCTCTCTCCTCTTTCTTTCTCACTCCTCTCTTTTCTATCCTCTCCTCCTCTTCTCTATCCTCTCTCCTCTTCTCTTCTCTCCTCTACCTCTCTCCCTCCTCTTCTCTCTTTTCTATCCTCTCCTCTCTCTCTCCTCTTTCCTCTCTCTCCTCTCTCTCCTCCTCTATTCTTCTCTATCCTCGTCTCTTCCTCTCTTCTCTCTCCTCCTCTCTTCTCTCTCCTCCTCTTCTCGTAATTTCTATCCTCTCTTCTCTCTTCTCTTTCCTCTCCCCTCCTCTCTTCTCTCTCCTCTCCACTCTCCCCTCCTCTTCTCCTCCTCTTCATCTCTCCTCCTCTAGCTTCTCTCTTCTCTCTCCTCCTCTTTCTTCTCTCTCCTCTCTTCTCTACATCCTCTCCTCCTCTTCTCTCCCCTCTTTCCTCTCTCCTCCTCTCTTCTCTATCCTCTCTCTCCTCTGTCCTCCTCTCTTCTCTTTCCTACTCTCATCTTTTTCTCTTCTTCTCTCTCCTCTCTCTCAAATTCTGACTCTTCCTCTCTCCCCTCTCTCCTTCTCTCTTCTTCTCCTCTCTTCCTTCTCTCCTCTCTCAGTCTCCTATTTTTCTCTTCTTCTACTCTTTTCTCTCCTCTCTCTTCCTTTCCCTTCTTCTCTTTTCTTTCTCTTGCCTCTCTCATCTCTTTTCTCTTCTTCTCTCTTTTTCTCTCCTCTCTTCACTCTCCTCACTCTCTCTCCTCCTCTTCACTCCTCTCTCCGCATCCTCTCTCTCCTCTTCCTTGATACTCCTCCTCTTCACTCCTCTTCTCTCTCTTCCTCTCTCTCCTCCTCTTCACTCCTCTCTCTCCTCTCTCCTCCTCTTCATTTCCTCTCATTCTCTCTCTCCTCCTCTTCACCCCTTTCTCTCCTCTCTTCACTCTCCTCTCGCTCTCCTCCTACTTCACTCCTCTCTCCTCTCCTCTCTCCTCCTCTTCTCTTTTCTCTCCTCGTCTTCTCTTTCTCTTCAGACGCCGTCTTTTGCAGACTCCCTGCCCTGGGGAATGGTGCGCCGTGTGCGAGGAGTGGTGGGTACATACTCCATGCGGGATCTTGCACCCAGGTCCCCGGCTCTGCAAGGCTGCGGCACCCCAATTACTCGGAAACCCAAAAAGTGTTTTTTTCCCCTATTAAGAGTCCTGATTTCCCTCCTGGGGTGGGAGTGACGGGAATGTCTGCTTGGTTTGTAGATCATTCTGCAGTCGATGCACAAATACAAGCCGCGGGTCCATCTCATCGTCCAGGACTGGCCGGTTCGACTTGTCGCAGATCCAGTCCCTGCCGGCCGAAGGGGTCAAAAACCTTCTCGTTCAAGGAGACGGAGTTCACCACGGTGACGGCCTATCAGAACCAGCAGGTGAGCCCCCGTTCTGTGCCAGCGTTCCTCAGACCCGCCTAAATCGGGAATCGTCAAACCGGACGGGGAGAGGTAAAAACACCAAAAACACAAAACGGGCAGCTAGTGCGAGTCCCCGGATCTGTCCTCGTATCAGCTTCCTGTCATCCCCAGCACCATCGGTGGGTGCGGTCTTGGGTGTAGCTGCTGCAGGGTGTGCCGGCCGTGCTTTGCGGCGGGGATGAATCGCAAGACCGGCTGAACAGAATCGCAAATCTTTTTGTCGGGTAAATAATGCGGCAAAAAAAAACCCCAAACTATTCAATCAACCGCCAGAAAAATGCCCAGCGTGCTGGAACAGTCCTGTTGCCCGCGGTGACAAGCGGCAGCCTCTGCGGTCGCAGCAGAATTTCCTCGCTCTTATTTGCACCGTTTTCCTCCTCAGATAACAAAGCTGAAGATAGACCGGAATCCGTTCGCCAAAGGCTTCAGAGACCCCGGGAGGAACAGGTGAGTGTCAGCTCTTGTGGTTTCCCGGTGAGGGTGCAGGACGCTGACGCTGTTCATGTGTTACAGAGGAGTGCTGGACGGCCTGCTGGAGAGTTACCCCTGGAGACCGGCGCTGGCCATAGACTTCAAGGCATTGACAGAGACGGCGGGTAAGAGGGGGTCTACCGGGTCATAGCGAGGTGATGACATCATCATAGGGGGGTTGGGCCAATCACAGGGAGGGAGAGAAGAGATAGAAAATGGGGGAAATAATCGTCATTCTGACGCCTCATCCCCCACTCAGTAGTAACCCCCAGCTCTGCTGATCCCCCACTCAGTAGTAACCGCCAGCTCTGCTGATCCCCCACTCAGTAGTAACCGCCAGCTCTGATGATCCCCCACTCAGTAGTAACCCCCAGCTCTGCTGATTCCTCACTCAGTAGTAACCCCCAAGTCTGCTGACTCTCAGATCAGCAGTGATCCCCAGCTCTGCTGATCCCCCACTCAGTAGTAACCCCCAGCTCTGATGATCCCTCGCTCTGCAGTAACTCCCAGCTCTGCTGATCCCCCACTCAGTAGTAACCCCCAGCTTTGCTGATCCCCCACTCAGTAGTAACCCCCAGCTCTGCTGATCCCCTGCTCTGCAGTAACCCTTAGCTCTGCTAATCCCCTACTCAGTAGTAACCCCCAGCTCTGCTGATCCCCTACTCTGCAGTAACCCTTAGCTCTGCTAATCCCCCACTCAGCAGTAACCCCCAGCTCTGCTGATCCCCCACTCAGTAGTAACCCCCAGCTCTGCTGATCTCCCCACTCAGTAGTGACCCCCCCAGCTCCGCTGATCCCCCACTCAGTAGTATCCCCCCAGCTCTGCTGATCTCCCACTCAGTAGTGACCCCCAGCTCCGCTGATCCCCCCCACTCAGTAGTAACCCCCAGCTCTGCTGATCCCCCACTCAGTAGTAACCCCCAGCTCTGCTGATCCCCCCACTCAGTAGTATCCCCCAGCTCTGCTGATCCCCCACTCAGTAGTATCCCCCAGCTCCGCTGATCCCCCACTCAGTAGTTATCCCCCCAGCTCTGCT